GCCCCGGGGCTCGCATCCTCAGCCCGGCCCCGGGGCTCGCATCCTCAGCCCGGCCCCGGGGCTCGCATCCTCGGTCTGATCCCGGGGCTCGCATCCTCAGCCCGGCCTGGGGCTCTCATCCTCGGTCTGATCCCGGGGATCGCATCCTGGGTCTGATCCCGGGTCTCGCATCCTCAGCCCGGCCCCGGGGCTCGCATCCTGGGTCTGATCCCGGGGCTCGCATCCTCGGTCTGATCCCGGGGCTCGCATCCTGGGTCTGATCCCGGGGCTCGCATCCTCCGCCCTGCCCCGGGGCTCGCATCCTCAGCCCGGCCCGGGGCTCGCATCCCCGGCCTCGCCCCTCACTTTCCCCGGGCACCTTCTCCGGCCCTTTCACCTCCCGCAGATTCCCAGCCGGTGCAGAAGGGCCATTGCTGCTCTGCTGTTACCGCTGCACCTCCTACTGCCCGCCCTCTGCCCCACAGCGTGCGAACACTCTAAAGTTGTAAAATCGTAAGAAATGTGGGATATCGTGCGGCCAATCTGCTAAAACCGTGGCAGAAAGCACACTCCTGCCCGCCGCTCCTGCCTTAGGGATGCTCCTTCTGTGCGAGGCGGTGCCAGGGGCTGATGAATGGGAGGAGGTTTCTAAGATGCCAACAGATCAACATCCCCTTCTTCCCCTGGGAACGGGCTGGCAGGCGGCCTGGAAAGCGCCCGGATCCCAAGGGTTAAAGCCGGCGGAAGGATATCATTTCCACCGGCTCTTCGCCCCACCCTCTCAAAGATAATAAATTATTGCTCGATGCAAAAATGAAGTGGTTATCACTGAGCAGCTCTGGGTCAGCCAGAGGAGGGTGGGTGTGTGGCAGGGGCTGCTGCAGGTTCCTAAAGCCTTGATTCACCTTCTTGAAGGCAGAAATATTTTGGTGGGGTTGCTGATGCTGCCCCATCCTCCTGGCTTCTCGGTGGGCCCCATGAAAAGGAATTTTCTCAGTGTATTGGGAGGGAGGAAAGCACCCAAACAGGGTTTGGTGGCTGTCCCAGGTGTGCCACCCTGCAGTGACACTTCCCTGGTGCCCGGCTGGGGCTGGGGGATGTGGGATGGAGCCGAGTGTGGTGCAGCAGCTCAGGAACTGGGGAACAGTCGGAGCCTCAGCACTTGCAGCACAGCCATGGAGGGAGCATTAAACTGGGAAACAGAGATGGGACTTGACTCTGCCACTGGGAAGTCACTGGGGCATCGCTCCACTTCCCTCTGCAAACATAAAACTGAACAACAAACAACAACCATGAAGTGTCTTCATATATCCAACAGACAAAGCTCACTTATATCTAATGTTCTTTTTAAACTCCTTCCCAACTTCTACAGGGGAGTGTGTGTTAATCATGAGCACAAACAGCGTTTCCCTTTTTAAACCAAGCTTGATAATTGACTTAAAATTAAAAAAAAAAAACAAACCTGAAAAAGCAACAAACCCAACCTTGTAAAAGAGGAGGGATGGATGTTGAAATGAAATTAAAATTTAATGTAGTTTAGAAATGACCCAAGAGTGTAATAGCTTTGGCTGGTACTTGATCAAGTCCCAAAATAAATGCTGGTTCTCCCACACATGTTTTCACAATAGGACAGGAATAATAAGAGCAAACAATAGAGCTGAAGTCAAGCTGTTAAATCATTAAGGATTTTACCAAACAGTTCAGATTCCCCTCTATTAACTAGCATCTCTCAGCAAGCTGTGGCTCTGGATTATCTTGATGTAAATCTGCAGTGATTTCCTCAGTATCAGCCAAATTACCTGCCCGGAGAGCTCCAGCCTGGAATGGAGCTCAGCCGAGCTCCCTGGCAGCATCCAGGGGAGGAGAGGAACTCTGTGGGCTCTTCTTAGAGGAAGCTGAAGAGAAGCGAAATATCGCTCAGCCATCAGGGAAACTTGCTGACAGTGAGAGATGTTTTGGGCTGTGAAGTAGTTTCCTTTGGGAAGTGGTGGAAGTTCTGTTAAAATTAGCCTGGACAAAGCACAGCAGAGCTCCCTCTGTGCTGTCCCTGCCTCGTTTTCCACACTCCCTTTTCCAGAGCACAATTATTCCACGCACAGGATCTGCTCACCTGCCTTTTCCAGCAGGGCATGTCACCTACCTGGTGCCATCCCTGCCATCCACAGTGGGGGCTTGGAATGGTCCCTTCTGGGATTCTGTAATTCTAGGTCCTTTTCACAGCCTCCAGCCCGTGTTCTCTGCCCTTTAACCACTGTCACCCACAAAACCGGTATCACATTGAGGAACTGGTTTAATTTGTGTTTAACCAGGGCTTCTCTTGAATCCACAGAGATGGGGATGCAAATTGTTGCTGAGTTTTGTGTTGTGTTCCTGCGCCTCTCTTGTGCTTTTTAACAGCTCACTTTGGAGGGGAAGAGAAACCAGAAAGCAAACTGGCTCTAAATGTCTTAGAGCTGCTGTCTAGAGATGCTAATTCAGCTCTTGCAGGCTGGTGAGGGAGCTGCTGGGGCTGCCTTGCAGCCCTGGTTAAATCCTATTGCTATTCCTTGTTGCGTGAAGCCTGTCCTGGGTGTCAGGCTGGGTTTGGTGCTGCTGAGCTCAGCGCACACCACGGCCTCGAGCAGCAGCGTGTGCTGCCCCCCTGGAAGGTTCAGCCTGAGAAAGATGCAAAGGACAGCCAGCGAGGCATGAGCCGGCTCTCAGAGCTGCTGCAGGCGAGGTGCCTCCACCAAAGGGGAGAAAACCCCAAACCGAACCCCAGCTGCCGCTGCACGAGCTGCAGAGCAGAGCAGGGGGTGCTGCTTGCTGCTCCCTGGGGCTGGGAGCCCTCACCCCTGCACACGTGGGTGTCGCTGGGGCAGGTGAGCAGCCCCAGCTCTCTCCGGCTCCGTTCCGCCCTGTCTGTCCTGCCTTGTTTGGCAGCATCAACCTTTGCTTTGGGGCACGGGCCAGCCCGTGTTTACCTGGGATGGTGCTGAAGCTCAGGTGTGTGATGGGCTGGGATTGAGCACCTTGCCCTGCGTTAGGGTTGCCCTTCATGCCAGGGATGCTCCACCCTGGGAGCACTCAGGGCCAGCTTAGACGGGGATTAAAGCAGCCTGGGCTCGTGGCAGGTGTCCCTGCCTGTCGGAATCTGAGGTATTGATGATTCTGAGATTGTGGAAAGTCTCTGTCTGTCAGCCCCGCTGCCAAAGAAAAGCCATAATTGATCTGTGCTGGTTCCAAGGTTGTTTATTCTGTTTATCTCTCACATGTTCTGCTGCCCTGCCCAGCTCTGTCCTGCAGGGCAGCGTGTGGGGCTCTGCCCTCAGTGGGATGTGACAAACATTAAATACCAGAAACTCCCTGGGCTGCATTTACAAGAACGTGCCAATATCTGTCACCTACGTTGGACAGTGTGTCCCCAGCCTGAACCAACAGAAAAATGCCAACACCACAGTGAGACATGGAGGGCATGAAGAAGGAGAAAAAGGACAAGGCACACCCAATCTCCTCCATCTTGTCCCCTTTGGACCCCTCATCTAGAATCCTAAAATTTTACTTTTGCACCCGTGCCACACTTAATAATTACTTCTATCAAACACTCAGAGCTTGTAACTCATCCTGTAAGATTGAAAACTCTTTTCCATGGCCAGAGATCACAGCCAGTGTCTCTGGGGGCTCTGTCCAGGGGGGTTCCTGACCCTGCCCGGGCAGCCAGAGGGAAACCCTGGATTCCCACGCCTGCCCATGGCAAAGTGCAGGGGTAGTGAGCTTTAGGGCCCCTTCGAACCCAAACGTTCTGTGCTCAGCCTGCAGCAATGGGCTCCGTGCACTTTGTCTGCCCCAGCTGCAGGGAGATTGAAGCCGAGGCGTTTTAACGCCTCGCTGGGGCGGGCTGGCAGGGCGTGCACAGATGCTGAGATTAGTTAAGGCTTCTCAGCCACACGAACTCGCACTCGATGTGGTTTTGGGTACAGCACAAAGAGAAATAGGCTGGTTGTTCTTCCACCACGTAGGGGTAGTTTTCAGTCTTGTGAATTAAAAAAGAGAAGTTTGAAAAAAAAAATATTCTGGTGTTCGAGGCAGAGTTAGTAATAACGAGCAGGAAATGATGACAATTTAATACTGTGCACATGCAGGTGTTTTGTGTTGGGCCATTACTCACAGGGCACGGGGGAGATGCTCTGGGGGTCCCTGTTTGCTGAGGTGCTGAGTGAGACACAGCCAAAGCAGCTTGCCCTTCCCCAGGGGTGGAGAACTGCAGAGATCCAGCAGCAGCAAAACCCCCGGGCAAGGACCGGAGGGAAGGCTGGAGATGATCCCGGGGCCTCCAGGAGATGATCAAGGGTCCGGTGTGGAGCTGGAGGCTGGAGGTGATGTGGTTGTGCTGGTTCTGCTGAGAAGAGCTGAGCACAGAACATGTGGAGTGCGACGACGGAGCTGGGAAAGGAGCTCAGCCTGAGGAGAAGGAGGCTTGGGGGTCCCTTTTTAAAACAAGCCTGGATGTGACACTGGGTGCCAGGGTTTAGTTGAGGTGCTGGGGCTGGGTTGGACTTGATGACCTTGAAGGTCTCTTCCAACCCAGTGATTCTGTGAATTCTGGCTCTGCACAGCTCCCTGTAAGGAGGGCCTCCAGGAGGAGTTCCCTGTTCTCCCAGGAAGCAAGTGATAGGAGTAAAGGAAACAGCCTCAGGTAGCACCAGGGGAGGTTTAAGTTGGATATCAGGAAAATTTCTTCACTCAAAGTTTGCCAAGCACTGGCACGGCTGGCCAGGGCACGGTGCAGTCCCCTTCCCTGGAAGTGTTCCAAAAATGTGTAAAGTGGCACTTGGGGTAGTGGTGGGCCTGGCAGGGCCAGGTTACGGGTTGGACTGGACGCTTCTGGGATTCTGTTGTAAGGACACTCAGCCGGGGGTTTGCAGCTGCAGTGGCCACAGCCCAGGGCTCTGAGGAGTGCAGAGGGGCTCCCCAGGAGCCAAGCTGTGTCCTCGGGGAGGCTGCAGCAGCTCCTCTGCCTCAGCAGGCTGGGAACAGCCATTCCCACGGCTCCAGGTCCCATCCTGCCCCGGCCAGCCCTGCCCAGCCAGGCTGTTCCCCTTCCCTCTGTCCTCCCAGCACCCTGGAGCCACATCCCCCAAACACAGACGGTGCCTTGGCCCTGCTTCCATTGGCATTGCAAGGGAGAGACACCCACAGCTCTGATAGCAGAGCCACACTGCAGCTCCCAGATGGGTTCAGGGATGATTAAAACTCCCAGCTAATGAGCAGCTCTGGCAGGAGGACTTGCTCAGGAGAGGGAATCCCGTGTGAGGAATTCCACGTGGGACTCAAGGCAGCGATTCAGCGAGGGAAACCTAAACTCATGTGCAAAACCAGAGGGTTTGTCCTGACAGCGGCAAAGTCCTTTGTGAGACAGACTGGGCCTGACAAAGCTTTCACAGGAAAGGTGTTGATCTCAACAAACTGCCTTTTTTGGTTTTTTTTCCTCTCTCTTAAAAGAAAAATATTGGCAACAATTTCCCACCAATTCTCCAGCAAAGGAAATATGATCTCATCTTCCCTCAGAGCAGCTCCCTCAGCTTGCAGGTGATAATTCATTCCCCATTGTCAGGCTCTCCCCTGGTCACACTCCTGCATCTGGGTGCTGCATTGTTGATGTGACCCCTCTAATCACAGTATTTCCTATTAATCCAGGTATTTTTCCTTTTAACTTTTCCAGCCTAAACTCCTTAAGGTGACAGTCTGCTCCAAGCTTTATACAGCTGTGGAAAGCATGGATTTAGCTGGTGCTGTCAGTTTTTATGGCATGGAATCTAATGCCCCTCTCCATTCCTGCAGGCATCTCCAAGATGATGAGTTATTATATGGACACAACCATCGGCAATGCAGCTCCTTATCCTTTGGCTTGGCCTGGAATGATGGTAAGCAATGATGGACAGGACAAGGGGAATGGCCTTGCACTGAATGAGGCTGGGCACAGATTAGATTTTAGTAAGAAATTCTCCCCTGGCAGGGTGAGCAGGCCCTGGCACAGGTTGCCCAGAGAAGCTGTGCCTGCCCCTGGATCCCTGGAAGTGTCCAAGGCCAGGCTGGGGCTTGGGGCCACCTGGGAGAGTGGAAGGTGTAGGTAGGACTTGGAGTGAGACAGTCTTTAAGGTCCCTTCCATCCCAAATCTCTCCATGCCTCTGTAAAAGACAGGAACGGGGGCTGCTTTCCCACCCCGGCAGCTTTCTCTCGGGTTGCTGTGATTTCTCCAGGCCTGACCCAGCTCGGTGCCATCTCCTGAGGATCCATGGTTTTAGTTCAGGGCAGTCCTGAATTCCAAGCATTTACCCAGAGCTTCTCTGACCCTCTGAGCCTGCAAACGTCCCCTGGAAATGGGATCCTGGTGGGATTCCCTGCGCTGGCGCTGGGAGGATTGTCAGGGGCAGCACTGTCACCTGGGAGCAGCGGGATCCCACGGAGCAGGGGGGAGAGGTGCCCGTGCTCCTCGGAGTTTTGGGGTGTCCGGTGCTCCCTCTCCCCAGCCAGCTCTGTTCCCTTTGCAGCTGATGGGGGGCTGTGTGTAATAAAGGTTGCAGTGTGATCCTGGGACAGGCTGGGCAGGGATTTGAGCCTTTTTTAGGAAAATCGGATCCATATTTAGGGAAATCTGATCTATATTTCAATGAATCAGAGAAATATACTCAGAGAAATCAGATCTCTACTTAGAGAAATGACATTTCTAACCATTTGTCCAAAGAACTGCTGAGCGTTAGAGGTCAGATAAGCTCTGGGCTGACACCTCAGGCTGCACAGAACTTGTGCTAAAACCCGACATTTTCCCCAAACTGGGAAGAAAAGCCTGTCCTGAGCCATGAAATATTCCCAAGGCAGCTTCATAGCTTTCCTTTAAATGGCTCCAAGCAAGCATTTGGCTTTTAAATATTGATTTGCCGTCAAGGAAATCTATTCCCCCACAGGGAAATGGTAACAATGATAAAAAATTCAAACATCCTGCATTTATTTATAGGCATGTGCATGGTATTGTCCTCTTCTAGGGAGACAAACATTTAAATGCAACGTATTTATTGTATGCTATATATGCATTTGTGTGTGCGTCCATGGTAAATATATATATAAAATATACACACAGATGCACATAATAAATATGGTGTGTACATATATACATAAATATATATGTATAAAATAGGTGTGTACAAAATAAAATGAAAATTACATCCTGGAATTATTTATTAAAGCTTTGTTCCCAATTAAAAAAAAAAAAAATCTATGTTTCTAAATACCTCTATATCTATGCGTAAGACATGTATTTTCTTTATAAAGTACAAATTTAGCTTCATATACAATAAAAATAACTGTGGAATTTATACAGAGTTATAAGCTAGAATTACATAGGCGTGGGTGTATAAATTCTTATATCACCCATATAATTAGTACATCTATAATGCATTGTGTGTTAACACATAATAATACAGTGTATTATGTAATGTTTGGGTAATTATACATTATGTTATATAAATTATATATGCATCTGTACATTTCATATGAGGTGTATAACTCATATACCCACGTGTGCTTACCACATGTATAAACTTATCTGTGGACACACCAATAAAACCAATGTAAACAACCCAAATAGAAAGAAAATAATCCCAAATAATATCCCTATAAATAGGAAGAGGAATATAAATATGACTCCCTGTCAGTGCACCCCCTGGTGACCTCACACATTTTGTGGGCTTTTGGGGCTTACTGCTGCCTAAAAATGGCATTTCCAGCTGTGGGGAGTGGAACAAAGCTGTGCCATGGAGGTGTCCCCATGGAGACCCCCCAGCTGCAATGCTGCCCGCCTCAGCCTCACCCTGACCTTCACATTTCCCTCACCTTGCTTTAAAAAATGCCCTTTTTGCCCAGCGCCCCTCAGGCAGCTGAGCTGGAGCTGCCGGGCAGGGTTTGCTGCCCGATTTTGGGGGCAGCCCCAGTGCCCCGCACCTTTGGGGTCCCGCTGCCCTGACGGTTCCCCCTGCTCCTTGCAGAAGCCGGGGCTGCCCGGGCCCTGCGAGGATCCCTGGGGGACGTGTGGCTTCCCGGCCTCCTGCTGCCC